TATATATATATAGAAACTAGAAATTATCAATCCATAATTTATGGAAAAGGGGGTGGGATTAAATAGGTGTTTACATACTTCTTCTCACTCCTTTTCGAATATGTTGACCTAGTCCAGAATTGTGGAATATTTCTTTTGTTACATGATTTCATTTAAGAAGTATGTGTATGGATTTGTACGTATATAAGTGTATATTTATAGAATCAGAATCAGAATCAGAATCAGAATCAGTTTTATTGCCAAGTAATTTTTACATCACCAGGAATTTGACTTGGTCCATTGGTGCAAAGAAGCAGAAAACAGATACCAAAATAAAATAAAAATATGTATGAAATATGTATGAAATATTAATTTTTTGTTTACTTGGTACTTGTCTTTACATATTCGGAATAAATATTTCAATCAATCAATCAAACTAATGCTAGCCAGTTTAGCTAACACTACATAGCAGGAAGGTGGCTTAAACAATTGCCCAATATGGCAGTGACTATTTTGCCATTACTGGCACTTTACCTGCTTAGGCTGCAGGTAGACAAACTTGACTCATGGCAAACTCTTGCATACAACAGACAATCATTTTAACATAATTCACTTTAGCCTACGCAAATAAATGCCACCAAACATGATAAGTTTAAACATGATATATATAAATCTTCACTATGATATTTAAAGGTTAGATAGCCACAATCAAGGCCACCTGAACCAAGGCAGAGAGCAGAGGGAGTATTCAGGTGGACATCACACTTTAACAGATATTGTCACATAACCAACAAGATCAAATGTTAAAATTCACCTAGATTGATGGGAGAGATGATCTCAGCAAAAATTAAATAAGCAATCCCTAATGTAGAATTTGTTTTTTTTGCAAAATAATTACTCAATATAGTTGTTAGATATCATATAATGCTTTTAAGAAAGTACAATATGACAAATGTAGGGTTAGTCTGTATCTCTGAGTGTTCCTGTGATCACTTGATGGTTGCTCTTAAAAAAAAAAAAGTTTAGTTTGTACTTTAAAACTTTCTGCGGTGTTAATTTTACAAGTTTGATAATTAGCTGGTAATTTAATGGTCCCAGGTTCTCGTACTAACCTTTCCATTTTCTCAGCTACTTACTGTCATCACCTGTAGACTTTTACCTACGCTGTTCAAGTACACTATGTTTTGTGTTTCAGATATGAAGGAGGAATTTGCTCCTCCTCTGTCAGGGATGCCAGGACAGTTTCCAGTCTACCTCCGTCTGCCCTACAGGCGAGACTCCTACTTCTGCTTCAGACAGCAGGCCAAACAGGCAGCCTTCCTCTCGATCCTGTCAGACTGCATCAGACACCAGAACCAAGGTAGGACTCTACAGATGTCGTTGATAGGATTGGTGCACTCACACATCAATAAAACTACCTCCATCCTTCCTGAAAACTGTAGAAAAAATAGCAGTTTTATGACGTATATACCTGCATGTCTTTGGCCACAGAATAAACGAAAGAAGCTGTGAAAAAGCAAAATTCTTTTAAGATGTTTTTTTTTCTTCTAAAATAGTGTAGAAAAACCATTGAAAATTGATGAAGTGTAAGTTGAGTGCAGAGGTATTTTAATCAGACTACTGTTCAGTTAGTAGCATGCATGTCTGCAGTCATTCACTGTGTGTGAATGCAGACAGCCGCTCTACTGAACTGTTTGGTGTTATTGCGTGCACAACTGTGAACATGGCCAAACGACAGAATGAGTTGTTTAAGGGGATGAGGAAGAAAAGAACTACCATGTTCACACAAGGTAAAGGCTGCTAGGACATCTCCTGGCAGCCTGATGTTCCTGTGACACCAGTTGCTGATATTTTTGGAAGTACTTGGTTCACGGGACTGTAGTCAACCCCCCATGGAAAAAAATACAAATACAAGCTGATCTTTTCAAGTTATTTTTAGGTTTAAACTTATTTCAGAGAAAACAATGCTTTGTCTTTTTAGGTAGAGGGATAATTATCTTTTTTTTTTGGTTTTGTACTACTACTGTTTGTTCCAGTCATAAGTCAGGGTTTGATTTCTTCATCTGTTTCAATATCTTACTTTGACAAGCAATTTCATTTAAACAAACTATTTGGTCATTTTCTTACACTTACATTACAATAAACTGAATATTTTTGGGATTTTAGACTCAGTATCCCTTAAAGTATTTAAAGACATTTCACTTAAAACATTTCACAATTTTCTGATATTTTTAAGCTAAAAGTTAAATCGAGGATGTGACTAAAAATGATATCTATTACTAACTAATTAAGCACTAGAGATACCTGTGGTATAAAAACTCAGACAATGACATAGTTGACTAAACTGATGCATACATTTTAGAAAACTCTATAGGTAGTGGCTACAGGTCTAAAACATCAGGTTCTACCTCCAAATGAGAGTACAAATGCAAACTTTACCCAACCAACCTATACATTGACTGTTCATAGTGTAAAAATATTGACTTGATTTCTTGAATAATCAGTTTTGTGGGTAGTTTTAAGAATAAATGAACAAAAATCGGAAAATAATAAGCACAAAATAAAGCCTTTACAATGCTTGATTTGTCCAACTTAAAAGTAAATAAAATATTTAAAAAATAAAAAATAACAGATCCTCACTGTTGAGAAGCTAGAAACATGAAATATTTGTAGTTTTAAACGAAATGCTTTTTGTAAATAGTCAAAAAGCCAACATTTTGTTTGTAAAACTCTTAATATGTAAAGGAATTAAAGCTATCAGATAAATGATGAGCAGTAAGAAGTAGAATATTTATAAGTATTAGCTGCCATTAAAGAAAATAGTTTCTCAGATGTGTACAGTACTTGAGTAAATGTTCTTCCGGCATGGTTGTTGAATACTCACAAGAGTTTGCTTGTACAGTTGAACTCCTTCAAAATTTGCCTTGGCAACAGACTTAGAGGAGCAGAATAAAAATCTTTTATCATGTTGATATAGAGAATTGGAGTAAATCAGTTTAATTCCACTCATTTTGCAGTCATGAATCAAAAACAACAGATGAGAGGCTGATGGCACACTGGGCAGACAGTTAATTTGTATGTCAGACTTGTTTTTCTCTTTCCTCTGTGTCAGACTTCCTGAAGAAAAAGACGTGTGAAGTTCAGGCCTTCCTCAAAGCCATCCAACTCTACAGACAGGACAAAGGCAAATATGAAGCCTGGGACATGTTAATAGGAAGCGATGTCAGGGTATGTCCCATCTTCCATCCATCCATTATCTATACACTGCTTAATCCTCGCTAGGGTCACAGAGGGGCTGGGGCCTATCCCAGCTGACTCAGGGTGAAGGCAGGGGACCAGGCTATCACAGGGCTACACTTAGCAGACAACCAAGACAACCAAGTACACTCACATTCACACCTAAATAGTTGATGCTACCTAACAGCAATGGATAAATGATTAAAACAGTTAGCTAAAATAACCTGTTTAATAAATGTTGAATTAGATGACGGAAAGTAATGAATACCTGTCTAATACTAATTGATAATGTTAAAGAAATTTACCAATAGTCCTCATGCAAAGTTTGCTGTAGTGTGGTGTTTATTAGTTTTCCGGTATATGGTGGGCTTACCAAGACAGAGCATGAGTCTGTGAAGGTAAGCCAACTCTGAACATTTGCAGAGTAAAACATTTTATACAGGTGGTTAGACAGCTGGGAGGGAACAGTATGTAAATACAGAAAAGAACTGTGATTGGTTTGCATATAGTTGCTTGAATTAAGGGGTCTGATAGACAACAAAGGGTGGGAAGGAGGGGTCTGGCAGACAGTTGCAAATAACAAAGGTGACTGAGATAAGGGGTCTGGCAGACAGCAAAAGGTAAAGGGATTATCAATAACAATGGGAATGGAATAATGAGTGACACTATGGATAGGAGGTGCCTGTAGCACAAGATGTGCCATTTTCTTCATCAATAACCACTTTAAAAGGCTAGCTAAAAATAACAGAGAGCTTTTGTATTTTTTTCTCTTCTGTTGCTTATTATAGTTGACATAGGGCAAAAGGCAGGGTATACCCTGGACAAGTTGCTTCAAATGAGAATTTCCACCCGAAACTCTGTTGTGTGAATGACTCAAGCCAATTTTATGACCAATGTATGTGCTCGCACGAAAAGGATGGTTACATCTTGTCCTGTGTATTTGAAATCTGAATGTCTGGATGCGTCCAGTGACTGCTGAGAAAGGTCAGCTGATGACAACGTAAAGTCCTTGTGGCAGCATGGAGAGACAGCTGGCAGGAGGGAACAGAGCCCAACGGGACGGACATGGGCTAGTGACCCATGTCTGTGGTCTCCTAAGCTTAGTAGCAAATGGCGACACCCACTCTAGCTACGACAAGTCAACAGAAGAAAATACCCTTAGAGTCTGCAAGAGTGAGGGCAAGAAGACTCATCGGCTGACACTATGGTAACAGACCCTGGACTGGAAATGACTATGAAAAGCACAGACTAGAATATCACCACAGAAGCTAAAGCAGAGCCCTAAACCAACAAAAAGAATATATCCTAAAACTTCCTCACCTAAAGAAAACAGTACTCAAACAAAAGACATGTTTCTACCCTAACTCTTAACAAAAACAACACGAGAAACAAGGAAACAATAAGGATGCTCACTCAACCACTGGTGCTCAAACATGTAGTCATATATACAGGTGCGTATTTGCAATACTCTTCTAATTTCTGACGTTCTAACCATAGACTGTATAAAAGGTGGACGTAGCAACTGGCCCTGAAAAATGAAGACAACCCGGAAGTGTCAAAAACCTGCAATATCACTACGTCCGCTAGTTGCTGGCTCCAAAAAGCCCTGGCTCCCATAGACTTGAATTGGAAAAGAAGAGATCACAGATCATGAAGTACCACATTCCTACAGCTCAGGATTTTTTTCTTATTAGTTTTCATAGTCATATCCAGAGATCAGGTGGCCAACAATACTGAATTTTTTAAAAATAGTCAAAATTTGGCGGGACAAGGGGCGTGGCTGGCTTGATTGACAGTTGGCAGCGACGATGCAGATGAAGCGAGCAGAAAGTGGTAAATGTGGGCAGGCAGAGAGGGCCTGCCTCTCAATCGGTCTGACCAATCACTGCTCCTATGGCTCCGCCCCCCTCCGACGATTTTTGCATCACTGACTCCAAAAATCCAAGACGTCAACCAGGAAGTAGCAAAACCCTGGCTTCATTTTCTCAGTGCAGAAACCAATGGGTGACGTCACGGTAGCTACATCCATCTTTTATACAGTCTATGGTTCTAACACACTGCACAATTTGTACCCAGATCTTAACCATAACTAACATTGCTCATACGACACACAAAATACAAACCAATGTTCAGATACAACCGGCTTGTTCTTTGTTGGGTATGGGAGAGAGAAGAAGAAGGCGAGGAGAAGGTTTACCTCTGTTTAAAAAGAGCTGCTCCCTGGGCTGGTCCAATCTGATAGCTCCATCATCCTCCACCTCAGCCAATCGGAAAGCTCCACTACTTCTGGTGAAATGGATGCTGTCCATACACAGTCAAGTTGAGGAAGAAAAGACTTCTGCCATCTTAATAGACACATTTCAAAATATAATAATATGACCCAGGGTCATAACAGCAGGAGGAAAAAGGAACAGTCAAGAACAAGGTTCTATAAAGATCCCTTCAAGTTTTTAAAAATCCTTTTCACAAAAGAGAAGAGTGGATCTCTGACAGCAAGGAAAGACCTGGAAGACCATCTGAAAGTGACATGCTCTGACCCAGGTTGGGATGAACAACTGACAATTCCATCAGACATTCCACCAATCGACCCTCTGGAACACCAGATGGAGACTGGTCCTCCAACTTGGAAAGAGGTGGAAAACATAGTTCACCAAGCAAGAACGGCATCACTTCCAGGACCAAATGGAGTCCCATATAGGTGTATAACAACCCACCTTATCTCCTGAGGTTTCTCTGGAAGCTTATGTGAGTAGTGTGGCAGAGGAAGGCGGTGCCCAAGGTGTGGTGTAGGGCAGGAAGGGTCCTGATCCCAAAGGAGAAGGAGGCAAAGAACATCAACCAATTTCGAGCAGTATCCCTCCTCAATCTTTTTCAGTGTCATGGCAAGGAGGATGTCTGGATATCTGGAAAGAAATAAGTACATTGACACGTCTGTACAGAAGGCAGGGATCATGGGGTTCTCTGGATGCTCGGAACATTCCAGCATGATTTGGCACAAGATCCAGATTGCAAGGACGAGGAAGAAGGACCTCCATGTAGTCTTCCTGGACCTTGCTAATGCCTTGAGGACCATGCCCCACTAATTCCTGTGGGTCTCCTTTAGCTTCTTATATATCCTAGATACCATTACGACCCTGGTGAAATCCTACTTTCAGGACCTGCAGATGTATTTTACCACCCCTGATTTCACTACATCTTGGCAGTCCCTCGAAGTTGGTATCATGGCAGGATGCACCATTTCACCACTGGCCTTTACAATGGGCGAGCAGTGGCTGAACTTGGACATGCGCCTCCCTCCTCTTAGGGCGCATATGGATGATATCACCACTCTGACCATCACTGCCCCATGTACCAGGAAATGTATTGCAAGTGTAAGTATTGGTTTTTCTGTCTTCTTCCCTTTATTGCAGCTTTGGCCTCCTTTACTTGCTGCTGTTCTGTTTGTCGAACAGATAAATTCAATCCAGAGACAAGCAAAAAAAAAAAAAAAAGTATTAAACAGAATTGAAAAACCAAAACATTTGTTGGTGGAGCAGCCCACTGTGGTTAAATTGTTGAACAGATGTCATGATGATGCGTTTTTTTGAGAGCGTCTGTTCCATCACAGATCCCTGAGCAGATTCCCATTTTTAATGTTCACTGTGTCTGTAAAGCTGAATTTCAGAATTGACACTTGAAAGTTAGTATGGCCACTCACAGATGAAGTGATTAATGTTTTATCTTGTAAAAATAGTGCATGTCAAGGTCTGGAATACATTAGACTGTAAGTGGACAGTTGTTCTCGTGGCTGTGGTCAGATAAATGGGTTGGCACATCTCTAAAATAGAAAGGCTTGTGGGATGCTCCCAGTCAGCAGCGGTCAGAGGAGGGAAGGATGCAGGCTGTCCTTCCTGGCTACTCAGACCCAGTCATCTGACCATATCTATGAGAGCCAACTTTTCTCTTACTGTGTAACATACTGGTGACATCGACATGCACCACTATTTTAAAATAGCCAGCATTATTCCCTTCATCTGTCACTGGCTTACATCCAAATGTAGGACGAATTCCAAATTCTGAGAAAATCTGCAAGGAAATGCAAACTAATGCTTGTTTCTATCCACGACTACATAAGACCCGATTGTTTAGTTGGAAGCCCAAGAACAAACTGGAAAAATGTTCAGTTCACAAATATAGAATTTATTTTGGCCACAGGTAAAGTGAGGCAGCGCTGGGCCTGGAGTGACAGAGCTCTTGTAAGAGATCTATCAGAAGGAGCCCCGATATCTAGAAATGATTCACATTTATCTTCTTGGGCTGGGCGTGCCCCGTACAGAGGTTGGACCTGTACACAACCGAGTTTAATTGGCCAATTACTGTGACGTGAACAGGCTAACCACTGTTCATGTGGAAAGTCGCTGAAATGTAAACAGAAACTGCATGGATCAAATAGAAAAAAGGAGTTTCCGCTGTCTCCCAGCATGTGAACAGTTCTCACTGGCCATGTTATCCTCAAGGATGTGCATTGTGCTCAGTAGAAAAAAGCAAACAAGGGTCAGTGGAGAAATACAGATTCAGAAGACATAATAGCTCGAAACATAATTCTAACAACTATTATATAAATACTATGAGCTAGTCTGTCAAGGTAAACAGTTAGAAGTGCTCATTTTCCAGCTTGGTGAAACAATGGTATACAAGAATCATGTGACCTCAAGATCCACTGAAGCTGCTGCACCACTCAAGAGATGAAAATATTGTAATTTGCTTTTATTAGTATGCCAAATTTTCCACCTCAGCAAAGTGCACAACGGTTTCTTTTTGGAACTTTTGGCATTTCCTCTCAGGCTTTTTCAATGTTTTAGATTATCGGTATCAAGCCTGGTAAGCTGCAATATGGCAGCTGAAAAATGACTTAAGAATAAATAACCACATAAATAGCTGTTAATGTGTCATGAAGTAATCATTTGCTGTCTGCTTCGCCTAGCTGACCAATCCTGCTTTCAACTGAGGTT